TTTTTTTTTTTTTTTTTTGTTGTTGTTTTTTCTAAATTTTTTATAATTCATATATGTTCACCTCTTTCCTTTTTTGCGATTATTTTAGCGTTCATAATAGTTCCCTTTAACATATCAGTCAAAATTATGTCTGGAAAAAATGGTTTCTTATAAAGCTAAGTATTAAATTATGTTTTTTTTAAGTTGCTAACTTTTTATTGCCTGAATGGAATATGCATATTTATGGTGGTTTGGATTTTAATGTTATTAATTTGCTTGTTTTATTTAAATGCAACAAAGTTACGCCAAGATATAATCTCTTCGACCCTTCTTTCAAGACTGCCCTCTAATGTCAACGGTAAGTCTGTATGTCTATAACGCTAAAAAACAGGAGTTCGAAAACCACTGTGTAGCTATGTGCTTAAAAATAAACAAACAAACTTTCAAAACCTTAAGCTAGGATATCCCTTGAATATATTTTATTTTAAAAACCATTTTACTGCATGAAAATATGAATCATTAAGATCAATACGAGGCTTAACACAAATTATATTTAAGTAACAGGTTTATTTTAAAACTATTTCGCCATTAGAGCTTCATTAACGCTTCGATGGAATTGGAAGAGGAATTTTCAACACAAATCGTATTTTATGCAGATGAGGGATAAACAGTTAAGTTAGAGACCGGTAGAGTTCAGGTATATACGTCATAGATTTTTAATTACAGAATAGAGGGAAGAAAACCAATTAGCAGATTCCGCTGCCACAAGGGCTTTGTTCAGCTATTTGAAACGAATAACAAGATTGGTTGTCATTTTTTTATAATACGCCCACAGCTACAGTTACGAAAGAAAATTATCTGGTCCAAAAAGCCATCGCGATGGTACACCTCCAGGTACCATTAACAAGTTCCCAAGGGCTTGGAGTTGACGAAGATTCACATTTCTACTGTTCCATATTAATAAATTATTTGAAATCACACAATTATGCTCGTACGGATACTGCTTGAAAAATATTATTAAGTTTGGTACCAAATATTATTAATATTTTTAGGAAGGAATCATGTTACTCTAACTTATCTAGAAGCAAGATTTAAGAATCACGTAAAACATTAAATCTGAGCCATTAACTGAGAAAATGAGCAAAGCATCGAGCAAAGTATTGACATTACTAAATGCGCTAATTAAGGAACCTGGTCAGGTGGTTAGGGCGCTCGACTCGCAATTTGAGGGTCGCGGGTTTGAATCCCTCTACCCACCAAACTATAGCTC